ATATATGTTATTTAGTATTCAGGTACACAATATATTTTTTGAAATATATTTGCCAATATATACTTTTCAACAATTGAGAGAAAAGCCAGTACACTAACATCTAAATAGATAAATTAGGTAAAGATATAGCAAAATGAAAAAGCTTGTGGTATATTTTTCTTTCTGCCGCCACAATTGAAGACAAATAAATTGTCATAAAACTAAGTATATATTTTTAAATTTGATGACTAGTTCGAAATCGTTAAAAGACTGGTCTCTGAAGATTTTAGTAATGGTGACATTTACGTTGGAGGGATAACGTAAGATGTTGTGTTAGTTGGGTTCAAATTTTGACCCAAAATAATAATACTCCATCTGTTCCAATTTATATGACTCACTTTCCTTTTTAGTCAGTCTCAAAAAGAATGACACATTTCTATATAAAGTAACAATCTAACTATAAAATATTTATTTTACCTTTAATGAAATGATTTACAGTCATCCAAATTTCTATCATTCATTTTGGATCACAAGTTTTAAAAGTCTTTATTTCTTTCTTAAACTTCGTGCCGAGTCAAAGTACCTCATATAAAATGGGACAGACAGAGTAATAATAATAATAATAATTTATTATTATTATTATTATTATCTCAGATCATAGATGTATATATTATTGTATAATTAATTCATTGAATTTTTTTGAGTGGCTTTTACATGTGATATAATTTGATCAGTACATGAATAAAGTGTTATGATGAATAAATAGATATACTAATGTGATCTATTTGTTTGAATCATTTAAATGTTTGTAATGTATCACATGGTGTATCTTGTAGGTGAAATTTTATCCACCGAAAGGAGATTTACCCTTAGATGCTTGTAATATATAATTAATTCACGAGAAAAGATATGGAGTATTTTTTCTTAGAAAGGAAAAAAAATGTAATTATTTGATTTTTCTAATGTATTATTTTCTCTATTTATTTTTACTTTTCATATTTAAATTTGAGACATCTATTAAGAAAATAATAATTGACACAATTATTTTATCATACTACTTTTATAAATTGATTTTTAGTATAAACTCTTTAAAAATAATTTAGAGAATAAGTAATTAATGCTAAGAATAAAATATGAGAAAAATAATTGTTTTTTATATTTTAAAAATAAAAAACTAAAATAAAAAACTATTTTTAAAATAATGGACATGTAAAAATGATGACTGAGTAGTTGAGAGGACAATTAGTTGTGAAGTTAGTATGGGACTTTCGGCTTAAGTTGGTAATATTTCATTAATGCAATGGACCAACTTTATTTGTGACCAAAAGAATATATTATTAGTAGTAACATTAATTTTGCTAACTCTATGATTTAGAAAATTTTAATAACCCATTTAATTGATTAATTATTTAAATTTTTATTTTATTAGTGAGAGTTTGATTCTCCGATCATAAAATTTTAAAAGACATTATGATATGATAAATATCACAATGTTTTGCTGATCTTTAGTCAATTTTTACATTAAAAAATTAAAATTAAAAATAAAATAATAAGTCAATTTTCAGAAAGATTCTTCTATCCTGTCTTGATCTCCTCGAGTCAAGGCACAAGGTTAAGCCTCAAACTATAGACTTGACATAATAATTTTAAACATTCAAAGGATTGAGCATGACGATCCTTGAAGTTGATTAACTATTAGGATTAAAGATAAATTGACCAAGATATTTTACTAAGTCTTTACTTTATAACATTTGTTTACGTAAACGATGTCGTATCAGAGATTGGTCGGACATTTACCATTCCATACGGACTTACTAGCTTGCTTATTTTCTTTACAAGCATATTTAAGAACCTAATGAATGAAATATAGATTATTGTAAATTTAACTGTACCGTTTCCATGAAAACAAATATAAAGTTCCTATGAATAAAAACAAAGTTACAAGGTTAACCCGATTATACAAGATAGTAAAATACTCAACATGGTCCCACGATACAAAGTATAATCATCATCAATAGAAGAATCTTAAATAGTATAATACTATACAACAAATCATCCTTCAATTCAGCATTTCTTCATACATACATTCAAGTTCAAGGGTTTTTATGAGAAACGGTCTCTTTACCCCCACAAAGATATGGAAGCCACAAAGTTAGGCAAACTCACTTGTGAGATTACACTGAATATGTTGTTGTTGTTGTTACTGACTAGAGCTTTGAATACGTAATACACAAGCACAGCTATAAACTGAACAAAATGCTTGCAAAGTCATCGACATAATCGCAGCCAAGAATGTGAGAAACTGTCATGATTCAAACACATAATGCTTCATGTATTTCCCAATTTTTCTTCCATTATAAAACTTGTTAACATCCTCAATCACTTTATCCAACAACTCAATTTTTGTTAACTTCACTGATTTACTCATCGAATTCGCAACTTCAGCATCGCTCTTCAAACGGTTCAACACAATCTTCTTCCGTGTCAATAATCCCATTCATTAACTCCGTGTAACGAGTAAAAACCAATGGCCCTGACGCGTCATACGCTACTAAATTTCATAAAATTACCTCCAGTAGAAAAGAGGAACATCAACTAAATGTGACATCGTCGAGTAAGAAATTGCTCGTGTTAGAACCATACCTTCTTTAACAGCATAAATTCGAAGGAACTCGAGTAGAAAAGAGACGTCAACATGATATCATAACAAACGTACTCTAATACCTCTCCATTTCGTATAGTTCTGTATGGCCCTAATGCAACTTCAGAATCCATTAGGGACGTTAAAAATGCACACTGGGATTTCACTGAATTCTTCATCAAGTGTTCGACGGATTTGAATAATCCATCGAAGTTTGGGGCCATAGCGCGGGATGGAAATTAAAAGAAGACATGGTTTAATTTCTCTGTTTTCTGACAGTTTTATTTTGCTTTATTAAATGAAAAAATAATGGTGGAGTCAAGACAAATGGAGTTTTAATTTATAGAATTAAATGTTGTTTATAGAAAGTGCAATTTCACCTAACTTTAAAAACGTGAGCTGGAATGAAGTGGTTGTTTGGCCCCAGCAAAATGAGTTAACTTAAGCTCGTTTTCCCATGTTTATAGTGTAAAGTTGTAAAACTATATAGCAGCCGTGAAATAATATAATAATGCATAAATCATAAGGTAAAATAAATAATAAATACTACTATTAAAATATATTACTAGCAAATACACAAAGTAGTTCGAGTCGTGAGCCCATCTCCCATTAATCACCAATGTGGGATGTGAGATGCTTCACATTCATCACTCCCACCTACCGTTCCTGGTGCATTCACGCCAGGCAAAGTTTGGGTGCCTATATAGGGGGCATGACTCTATTACAACTTGAATAAATTTTGAAATTGTCCAAGTTCATATAAAGATATTATAAGGAGACCATCCTCTCATTAACCATCGATATGGAAATCTTCTTTCATTAATATACGTGAAAAAATAAAATAAAAATAAAGCAATTGTTTGAATTTGGAAAAAGAAGTGTTCCAATTCTCATTATATTAAGAGCAATATATATACCACGTAAGTTCTCTCTTGAGTGTTGTAATGTAGCTGATTACTAAAATTATCTTATGATGCGTTCATCCCAAACTTAAAAGTCTCAATTAAGCATTTGAGAGTTTAAGTACGGGGTTCAAATAAATTCGTTATTAGAAAGTTAAAATTAGTTGAGGTGCATGTAAATTGATCTGAGCACCACAACTAACTGATATTCAAATCAGCTTACATGCATCTCGACTAATTTCATGAAGTACCTGCTACTCTAAAAGCCAGAGCGCCTAGCTGAATCACATGTTTTTTAATTTCTCCTGAGTGGTGTATACTGTATATTGCTTACTGGTAACTGGTGGGTGATTTTTAGAAACTGAAAACTTAAGAAATGACCATTTCTCGAATGAAAATTATATTAAAAGCTCCCAAATGCCCTCTAAACCCAAAAGCTCAACAATCCATCTTGGTACTTATTAAAGTATTATATTAAGTTATAAATCGAAATATTTTGGGATTACGAAAACAGTAGATAATGAAAGGTCACTCATTTTTTAAGAAGAAATTGTGTGCTTGTGACAACAAATCGAAATATTTTGGGATAAATAATTTTTATGATCCCGGAAGCTTCCTTTATCTCCTATTTGAATTTCACATCAAATAATGCCAAGGAAGAATTGTAATCAAAGAAATTCTTCTCTCATACAAAGGAAGGATCATTCATTGGACTGGATATATATAATTGTTTAAATACATGTTTTATCACTTAGCGCCTCTCCATTTTAATATTACTATATTACACTTGCTTAAATAGAAGACATATATAGTTGTACTTTTTCTTTTGAATAAATATCACAAAACTTTACTCAACTATTAAATTTTATCTAAAAAGAGTTATCAAAATCAGTAACTTAAGTTGTTGCCCAAAATCTCCACCTTCTTTTTTTCTTTTCTTCAATGGATAAGTTTTTATGGAACTAAATTAAATAAATATTAATTAATTGAATAAAAACAAATACTCCTATTCAATAGGCATAAGCCAGAAATTACTTGTTACACATATGACATATCTTATCTACTTCAACGAAAAGGAGGAGAAGAAGCATAATGAGTTTTTTTTAAGAAAAAAATTACTATTTAGTTGAGTAATTTTAGAAAATAAAAACTCTAAGTTGCCTGATTCTGTTGAGATTAATCTTCGCAACTACTTACATATATTTGAAAATTAAGTTACACTATAAAGCCACGGGTCTAATTAAGGGACAAAATGATGAAATTTCCAGAGAAGGACAATCCCTTAGCCTTAAAACTCTCAACAGAAATGCTTTCATTTCCACTATTTTCGTACTCACATAACTTCCTCAGCCCTAATAATCACCTTCCTACAGTATTTCCCCACTCTATATATACATACCATCACATTAATTCCATGATCATCAACTCAATATTCTTAATTTATCGTTCTCTATAACAATCATCATCTATAGTCCGATATGGGGATTCCAAGGTATATAGTAGCTGGCCCATCGGAAATGCTTGCCATCACGGGAAATGGCATACCTGAAATACTTCTGAAGAAGAAGCATTTTTTATGGCCCCTCCAAAAATGCACTACGCTTGACATTTCCCCGGTGAACTATTCGTTCCAGGTTCAAGCTATGAGCGCGGAAAAAACTCCCTTTCTACCTCCCCGCAGTATTCACAATTGGGCCAAAAGTGTTGGAGGAGACGAATTATGAGAGCTTGATTAAGTATGCAAAACTTATGTCTAATAGTGACAAGCAATCAACTCATATACAAGATCTTGTCAAGGGAGTTATCGAAGGGGAAACTCGTGTACTTGCAGCTTCCATGACAATGGAACAGATTTTTAAGGGAACAAAGGAATTTAAGCAAGAAGTATTTGATAAAGTACAACTTGAGTTGAATCAATTTGGGCTTTATATCTATAATGCTAATGTTAAGCAACTTGTAGATGTTCCTGGCCATGAGTATTTCTCTTACCTTGGACAAAAGACTCAGATGGAAGCTGCTAATCAAGCAAAGGTACGTAAACACAAATATATTTTTTCGAGGCAGAGCTATTGAGTTCCGCGAAATCTCCTAATTTGTTTCATGTGTGATAGATTGATGTAGCGGAGGCGAGGATGAAAGGAGAGATAGGTGCAAAGCTAAGAGATGGAGAAACAAAGCAAAATGCTGCTAAGATTGATGCTGAGACATTTATTGAATCAACGATAAGGCAAGGAGAAGGAAAGAAGGAAGAAGTTAGAGTAAACACTGAAGTTAAAATATTTCAGAACCAAAGAGAAGCTGAGGTTGTTGAGGCAACTACTGTGCTGGCAAAGAAGAAAGCAGGGTGGTCTCAGACTGCCAGGCTGGCGGAGGTGGAAGCCGAGAAGGCAGTAGCCATAAGAGAAGCAGAGCTGCAAATGGAAGTGGAGAAAAAGAAAGCTTTTGTTGAGACTGCTAAGCTCAAGGCAGAGCTTCTCACGAAGGCTACTGTGGAATATGATATTAAGGTAAGTAGTACTTTTTTTCTACTTAATTTGTCAAGTTACGCCCAAAATTCATTTCTTTTTTTTTAATACGCTCCCTAACATTAGCATTACTATTTCAGAACTACATTTCAGTTTTTAGGTTCTAATTAACTGCATGTTAGTAATTTAAACAGGTGCAAGAGGCAAATTCTGAATTATACAAGCGACAGAAAGAAGCAGAAGCTGCACTATTCGAGAGCCAGAAGAAAGCAGAGGCACAAAGAGCAAATGCAGATGCTGAACTCTATGCTAGGCAGCAGGCTGCAAACAGCGAGCTGTATGCAAAACAGAAAGAAGCGGAAGGAGTAGCAACGATTGGGAAAGCACAAGCCATTTATATAGGATCCATTCTAAAGGAATTGAATCACAATTACCCTGCTCTCAGAGACTATTTGATGATCAACAACGGTATCTATCAGGAAATTGCAAATACCAACGCTCAAGCAGTGCAAGGTATGCAGCCAAAGATTAGCATTTGGTCAGGCTCTAATAGCACTGAAATCAATGGTGGCGAAGGTGGGAGCGGATTGAAGGATGTTGCTGGTTTGTACCGCATGTTGCCTCCTCTGCTTGAAACTGTGCACGAACAAACTGGGATGCAGCCTCCTGCTTGGCTTGCGACATTGCCTGACCATAAATGAAGTGCACATTAGTTAGTTACTTTAATAGTTTGCTATGGATTATTATTTATGCTTTAATTTTCTGGTTTTGAATTATGAATTACTACTATTTTGCATTGTGCTGGTTGGATTGAACTTGTTTTTTCATGTATTTGGAAATAATGTATACCAAGTTATGAATTGGTTAAAGGCTATGGTAGCAAAACGGATTTCACCTAGGTGCATGTAAAAGGTGGACATCCAAAAAGCACAAAACCTACGTATACTTATTCACGTTAAATCAATAAATGCATGACGTGTGTCTTGCTATGAGTAAATAATAATTAACTTATGTATATAATTACTTCGTTACATTACTTATAATTAAGTTGCATGATCTAATGAGATGGTCTTGATCATATTTTCAAAAACTATTGTTTTTTCAAAAAATAATACATTAATTTGATATAAACACTACTTCAATATTGACTAGAACTCTAATAAAGTATATTTCATCTCTTCAACACCTTTCCAATACCTAAAAATTAAAGGTTGAGTTTTAATTACTTTAATCAAGATTCTTGTCAGGATTAAAATAATTAATAATTTCTTTATTTACTTTTAAAAATTGTCAATCCCACTATTCTAGCTAAAAATTATCCATTCTTAAATAGAACTAAAATTTCTCTGTATTCCTATTTGCTACGAGCTCTTTTTTTTAAACAGGTTTTTCCTTTTTTATGTTTCTAAGATTTTTCAAAGAAAATATAAAAATTATTTATTATTTTAATCATGATTAGAACCTTAATTTTAATTACAATATGTGGCTTCCATCCAAATACGAACTTAGAAAATAGAGAGAATAGGTAACAGAAAGGAGTCTCGTCCCATACGTAACCGTCTCTGCCTTCTCTAATCACTGCAGCACAAGGATTCATATTTCCCACTTTTTTCGTCATTGTAATTATTAGTATTCCACCACGTTTAGGACTACACAACTCTCTGATATATATTTCGATTTTTGTTGTTAATTTCTACACGACCCTAGAAATTGTTTATTTGCTTCATCATCAAATCGATCTCTGTAATTAACAATGGGTATTCCACAGTATATAGTTGCTGGTCCATCGGAGATACTTGCCATCACCGGAAGTGGCATAAAAGAAATTAGACTGGAGAAGAAGCACTTTCTATGGCCCCTTCAAAAATGCACCAGGCTTGATATATCACCTGTCAACTATTCGTTCGAAGTTCAAGCTATGAGTGCTGAAAAACTCCCTTTTGTTCTCCCTGCTGTTTTCACAATTGGGCCACAAATGGACGAAAACAATGAGAGTCTGATTAAGTATGCACAGCTTGTATCTAATCATGACAAGAATTCAAATCATGTTAAAGAACTTGTAAAGGGAATTATCGAGGGGGAAACGCGTGTTCTTGCTGCTTCAATGACTATGGAACAGATCTTTAAGGGAACTAAAGAGTTTAAGAAAGAAGTATTTGAGAAAGTGCAGCTTGAATTGAATCAATTTGGGCTTTATATCTATAATGCTAATGTTAAACAACTTGTAGATGTACCTGGCCATGAGTATTTCTCTTACCTTGGACAAAAAACTCAGATGGAAGCTGCTAACCAAGCTAAGGTGCATCTCAATCTCTATTTTGTTTATTTATTCTTGATTTCTTTATAGGTATGTTGTTGGTTTTTATGATGGGTAAGATTGAATGAGGGAAACTAATGTCTCATGTATGTATATTAATGCTCATACATGTATCATAGTTACTACAATATTATCTCTTGTTTTTTTGCCTATATTATTGACTGTTCACATACCCATGAACTCTTTCATCAAGTTATCCCAACATTTGGCTATATTCAATTCGTGGTTTTAATCCAAAATTAAAGGCATTGTAGTGAGGAACATACACCGAATAGTACTTGAGATGTGAAACTCGTGAAATGGTGAAGGTTTTAACCTATTCACTCATATAAATAAATATCTGTAATTCATTGTTTATTGTTTTTGCTTTCTCTTCCTACAGATAGATGTAGCAGAGGCGAGGATGAAAGGAGAGATAGGTTCAAAGCAAAGAGATGGAGAGACAAAGCAGAATGCTGCTAAGATTGATGCTGAGACAATGATCATATCAACCAGAAGGCAAGGAGAAGGCAAAAAAGAAGAAGTTAGAGTAAAGACTGAAGTTAGAGTATTTGAAAACCAAAAAGAAGCAGAGGTTGTTGAGGCAAGTGCTGAGCTGGCAAGGAAGAAAGCCGGGTGGTCTCGGACTGCCAGGCTGGCGGAGGTGGAAGCTGAGAAGGCGGTGGCAATAAGAGAGGCAGAGCTGCAAATGGAAGTGGAGAAGAAGAAAGCTCTTGCTCAGACTGCTAAGCTCAAGGCTGATCTTCTCAGCAAGGCTAATGTTGAATACGATATTAAGGTATTTCTTCTGTCTCAATTTATGTGTACTGTTTAGCTGCATTAAAACTTAGTTTGTAGTAACATTGTTTTGGTGGCTGAAAGAGAGTTATACATGTTGATTTGAACAGGTGCAAGAGGCAAACTCAGTATTATATAAGCGACAGAAAGAAGCGGAAGCTGCTCTATTCGAGAGCCAGAAGAAAGCAGAGGCACAAAGAGCAAGTGCAGATGCTGACCTCTATGCTCGGCAGCAGGCTGCAAACAGTGAGCTGTATGCAAAGCAAAAGGAAGCGGAAGGAGTAGCAGCGATTGGAAAAGCACAAGCCATGTACTTAGGATCCATTCTCAAGGAATTGAATCACGATTACTCTGCTCTCAGAGACTATTTGATGATCAACAACGGTATCTTTAAGGAAATTGCCCAACTCAATGCTCAAGCAGTGAACGGTATGCAGCCAAAGATTAGCATTTGGTCAAGCGCTAATGGAGGTGAAAGGAATGGTGGTGAAGGTGGGAGTGGATTGAAGGATGTTGCGGGTTTGTACCGCATGCTGCCTCCTCTGCTTCAAACAGTGCAGGAACAAACTGGGATGCAGCCTCCTGCTTGGCTTGCAACCTTACCTGATTTTTTTTTTTTTTTTTTTTTTTTACCGTGGTTTCCGGGCGTCGCTTTGCGAACCCGACTAGCTGTACCCATCGGGTCCCGCTGTTTCAAGGCGGGTCCACCACGGTTAGTTCCACGGGGCCCTGGAGACGCGGCCGGTTTGTAATGCCTCCAGTGGCCCTGCTGGGGCTCGAACCGGCGACCTGAAGGACTTTGTCCCAGGCCTTACCAGCTGAACTACCCCTCAGGGTTAACCTTACCTGATGAATCTAAATGAAGTGCACTTTAATTGCTTTATGCTTTAATTTTTTAGTTTTAAATTATTATATAGTCTTTCGAATTTCGAAATGTGCTCTTAGTATTGTTGCTTGGATTCGAAGTTGTTTGAATGTTGGATTTATTATCTTTTATGGAGGAATTGTTGTCTGAGAGCATCATATTTTACCAACATTTTTGTGAATTTGTGACTCAGCTTGCTACTCCTTTGTCCCAAAATATATCGTTTTAGAAGAAAAAAATTAGTTTTTTATCCCAATTCTATTCTTAGTATTTATTGGGGATAAGAGTCTGAAAAATACCTCAACTTTGGTCGGATTTGCTGTTGCGATACTAAACTTTCATGAGGACCTATTACCTCCCTAGACTATTTAATACCGTATTTTAAACATATATATTTGCCCATGTGGATATAAAAAATAATGCAAAATTATAAATAGTAATGTGTCCACGTGGGCACATATATACCTTTAAAGTACACTATTAAATAGTTCAGGGGGAAAAAAATACGGTATTAAATAGTCTAGGGAGGTAATAGGTCTTCATGAAAATTTAGTATCGCAACTGTAAATCCGACCAAAGTTGAGATATTTTTCAGACCCTTATCCCTATTTATTGTTATTGAAACTATAAACACTTCAAAATGTTACTATGATTGTTCATATATCATTGATTTTAAATAAATAAACGCTCTTAATTAATGTTTCAGATAATTTGAGATGGAATAAGTAGTTATCTATGCTATTAGAAAAGTTTTAATGTAATCTTAATCATGATATTAGGAGACCAAAATATATCTCTAATATTAACGCACTAGGGGAATATTTTCAATCGTATAAATGAGTGCAACATTATGTCGTTTAAAGTTTCCCATTTATACTTAACTCTATTGTAAAAGTATAGGGCAAATTACAGAAATCACATACTTTATGTTTTAGGCTTCCAACGTAGCTAGTCGGGACCGACGCCCGGTGGGATGAAACCCGAGCAAGCACCTGGGCTGGTCTACCAAGCCCAGTGTCTTGTTTGGCCCAACCCAACCCCTTCAGTCAAATTGGACCGCCCTGGTGTGAAATTTTATGGGCTAAACTGAGGCTGGATGGTTTCAATAAAAGAAAAATTAAGCAGTTAAAAAAATATTTGAAGTTAATTATCAAACATAGCTACAATTTTGTATTGGTATAAAGCAAGAGAGAGAGCGGATATACAAATACAATTGTTTGAATTCGATTCAATTATATACAGATACAAATTGTATGTAGTTATACAAATACAAGCATGAATACATATACATACTAGTTACATAGATACAATTATCTAACCGATATACATATACAATTTACATCTCTCCACTCTCTGCCCTCTCTCCTCCCTCTTCCAATCTCGCTCACTTCCCTCATTCCGCGAACATATAGCTACGAATCGTAATTAGCAAACTATATCTATGGAGCATAACTAAGTTATTTTTAGTAGCTATATGCGACAATTACCCCAATAATGCAATGCAACTCAAATATTTAATGCCGTGTGTTACCTGCGTTTATTTTTTTATATCCTCTTATCACTTATGCATCTTGCCACTTTAAAATATCATGTTAATGATATATATGAATCAATGAAATTTAAATAAAATCAGATTATTCTTTTATCTCGAAACTATATTCATTTTAAATATTACTATTAAATTTGAATTTTGCTTTGAAAAATCCACATTAAAGGTAAAATGTTCTCTCATAAATTCAAATAAAAAATTCTATTATCTTAAAAAATATACTTAATTCACTCAACAACAACCCTTTTAGAACAAATTAAGTATTTCATTTATTGGTTTGACTAGGACAAATATAATTCTTTATTATAGGCAACCCAATGTAGGATAGAAAATGGTTAGATTAAAGAAGAGTAAAGCATGAAAGGATATTCAAAAGAGACAAAAATAAATGAAGAAGATACAAAAAGAGAGTGCATTATAACATTGCCCAATTTTACTTTTCCAATGCATCCAACTTGTTGCAAAATAAGAGTAAATCCATAGTGAGTACTGACACATCGAAACAAGCAGAATCCACAGAGATGTCGATCATAGTAATAATAAAAAATCATTCGGTCCGTCATAAATTACTTATCGTGTTTATCTATAATTATATAAAATATTATTCAATAATTGTATTATTATTTATGTTTGATAATTAAAGTATATATAATCTCCAAAAATCATTATATAACACAGTAATTAATTTATTTTGAATTTTTAGTATGACAAATATTTTGAGACGGACAAAGTAGATTATTAATTGAGAGTATCATTATAGCACACATTTTAGTGTTTGTCCTCTTTCTTTTGGGGATTTCCTTCACTGTCTAGTGTTTTCCAAAACATAAAACAACATAGACTCTTGTCTCTTGGTAAAAAGAGTGTATGTATTTTAATTACATAAAGCACCATATTGACTAATATCCAATTCAATTCCTTGGAATCAATACATTTTTTTTTGTTATTTAATTTCTGAAAAAATAAAGAAATAAGAAGTGTATATATATGTCTAAACTTTAATATTGTTTAGAGAGTTATAGACCGACATTCCCTTTTGTTCCAAGCCAATGTTTCCTAAATTATCATATACTAGCAACCAAACTCCACCTTACACTTCCTCGAAATATGTCCCAAACTGGCCATATTCCATTAAGCAACAAACAGATTTTAAACAATAGGAATATAAATTAAGTGAACATGAAAGAAAGATTAAAGATGCACTGTAAAAATTATTTAAAACGCTTATTATGTGATAAATTTAATAATTTAATTATCACTAAATATATTTTTTAGAGGTAATTAATACTCTTTGAAAATGTCTCAAAAGCCTAGAATTAAAATATAAAGTTGATCCCCTTAAATGCCATCCGCTAAGTTTTTAATACGTGTGATATTCTAACACTTCTCTGAAAACTTGAGTTATGTCTTCTAAAGAGTGCAATATTAAGGTGTTATAGGTTCTTATCTTCAAAAGTTAGTCAGCCTAAAAAATTGACGGTCTTGTTTGATCTAACTTTTTTTTAATCTGTTCCGTTGAAGTGTCACAAGTTTAATTATGGGGAATTTTCGCATATAACTACTCAAAAATAACTTAATTATGCTTCATAGTTATAATTTGCTAATTATGATTAGTAGCTATATGTTAGAGGGAGGTGAGAGGCGAACTAGATTGGGAGACGGAGGAGAGAGGCGTGCGAGAGAGGGCAGAGAGTAGGGAGAGACGAAGTGTATATGTATATCTGTCAAATAATTGTATACATATGTATTTGTATCTTTGGAGAGCGAGATTGAGAGATAGAGGAGAGAGGCGAGCAAGGGAGATTGGGACAGGGAGGAGAAAGGCGAGTGAGCGAAAGCACAGAGTGGAGAGGGATGAATTGTATATGTATATCTGCCAGATAATAGTATATATGTAACTAATAAACATATATATATATATATATATATATATTTGTATATCTGACGAGCGAGATTGGGAGTGGGAGGAAAGAGGCGAACGAGAGAGGGCAGGGAGTGGAGAGAGGCTTATTGTATTTGTATATCTGTCATATATTTATAATTTGTATTTGTATATGTATAAGAATTTAATTATAGGTAAAATTAAATTGCCAGCCGTAATTAATTTAAACTATATCTATGTTAGCTAATTAACTAACATATGTTTATTTATTCGCGTAATTTTTCCTTTAATTATCTTCTTTATTTTTAATCGTATAACTTAACCTCGTCAAAATTAATGTTTCAAAAATCTGTCTAAAGAATCTTTAGAACCATGGAAGGATGAGAGATGCAGGAAGCACATCAGCACACAGTAGACTGCATCCAGAAAAGAGTGAGACTTGTACTCCCTACATTCCATAACCTAAAAATATGTCTCAAAATAATTACTATTCACTCCTATTACTTTCTAAAATTAAGATATAATTGAAAAAAAATATTTTTTGTCTTTAAATTTTTTTATTTTAAACATTTATGTTAATGAATAAGACCTAAAAAAAGTATGCTAAAAGAGTTGAATGCAAAGTTAATAAAAACACCTTTTTATTTAAGATATTTTGAAAACGTATAAAAAACAACTACTAACTAATCAGACATATTTCATGACCATAGATACTATTATTATATATACTTTCAAAATATTAAGTATCTTATCAATAATTAAGAAAATTCCAACATATATTGACGAAAATACACTTAGATACATAGATTTATGCTATCAAAAACACAAAAATGAGGATTGAAGCGAGTGAGATCAAGAGTGATTCAAATGTATCTGGGATACCAGATACATGAGGCGAACAAGATTTTCTATGTATCTTATATTTATACGAATCTACTTAAATATAATGTATTTAGAATAAATTATATCTATTAATTTTGATTCTATATATTCGAGATACATATATATCTGAAAAATTTGATAAGATACATAATATTACAAATTATAAGTATTTAACTCTTAAATTAATGAAATTTATATAAATTCCCTTTAAAAAATAAAAGTGAACAAATAATACAAGATGAATGGAAGGAGTTGTAGATAGCATCGATGAAAATAATAAAGGCCCCTTTTACTACACTCCAAAAGATTCATATATATTATTGTCATTTGATACACGTCCAAAAATATAATGCTAATTTCTACTTTGTCCATAATTTATCTAACATAGTACCCCCCTCCCCCAACATAACTCCGTTGATTGATGTGATGA